TATACTGCCATCACTACAATATAGATGTTTTACACACTCCTTTTGTTGTTGACATTTACAGGCTGTGTGCAAAATGCCACACTCTTCAAATTCATGCCAACTAATATTTTTACGTCCAGTAGATGTCCTACTAGCTTGAAGCTTCAAGACGCTGGGGTGAACCAGTTGGATGAAAAGCTTCAGTGCTTCATGAAGCTTCATCTGCCCATCACTAGTTAAAACACCCAGACCAGTCATTGAAAAGTTCCACACACAATTAATATGAACAAATTGTTCATGTCAATGTCGCCCTCAAGTGGTCAGTGAAGTAGCAGATGGGGTTAATGAGGTTCAGCTGCTTTGGTGTTAATGAAATTAAGAGCAGCAACAATGAGACAAACCAAACCTGGACCCTACAAAGGTCGCACAGATAGTCCAACTCCTGCAGTGCGCCACATCAATAAATTCCATTGCCAGAAGGTTTGCTGTGTCTCCCAGCACAGGCTCAAGAGCGTGGAGGAGATCCCAGGAAACAGGCAGTTATTATGAGAAAGATTTTTAATTTTTTTTTTTTTAAAGTGTTCCTTGTGTTAACGTCAATGTCGCCCTCAAGTGGCTGAAAAGTAGGAGTTTTTTTTAAAACAAATAAAATAAAACCAAAAAGGAAGGTCAATCTGTCAAATAAAACTACAAACAAATATGTCACTTTAAAGGAGTCCTGATTAAACCGATTTAATGCCAACTTTAATTATCTCTTTTGTGTACATATTCTATTGGAAATACATGTTTATTTATGTATCTGTTTATGTTTATAATAACAAGACTAACTGGCCAAAGGCTAGAAATTTCCAGACCAATGGGAAATCTGTTTTGCTTCTCTATTTGCTGAGTTAATTCACTCCACGAGAATCTTTATTATTCATAAATGTAATAAAATAAAACGCAAGCACCACAAGTGGGTAAATAGACAAATGTATAACTATATGCATCTAATGTATCTCCCGATTACAGAAAAAGTAAATCGCGTAACCCTTATTGATACTTACTGCTGGGATTGATCAGAGCTCTGCTGATTCGTGCGAGACGTGCACACTTTGTTCCAAAACACTGAAACGAGTAAATATATCTCCATATAAACCTATAAATAATATAGGACATGTTTGGGTAAATGAAATGTTGGAGAGTAATAATGCATTTCCTGATTAAAGAAAACTTATAATAAAACAGAGATGACTGTAACCCGTATAGACGGTGCTGCTGTTATTGATCAGAGATCTGGAGCTTCCACGTGAGAGACGTGCACACAGTTCCTCTCCTCTAAACATGAAGGCATGGTACTAACACACTGACACACATGTAGGGGGCAGTGTTGCCAAGTGATTGACAACCACGAGGTGGGTGCGTGGTTTGTGAACCAGATGACCCCTGTCTAGGTATTCTCGCGGGAATTCGTGTTATTTCTATCCAGTATATGGTTATTTTAATACCATTCGTTTACAAAGAGAAACTAATGTTATTCATTGGTAATAATACAATTCCCACTATTTCCCTCACGGGGTAAACTGACAGTGATAGAGCGTAGGATAAATCGCTCTTTTTACTCATTGTCACCGCCCTCGCGGACTGTCGTTTGGAGATAAACATTCGTACCCAATACATGCTGTCCCACGTGCCTGATAGCTACTGCACAAAAACATGACGGCTGGCTGCTGCAGACTTGGGTACCACGAATGCAGAGTGTAGCAGCGTTTGGAAGCTGGTTGTCGTGACAGACCTTAAAACTTTGAGCTTGCGTTAACTCTTAGTTTGCAGGTGAAGCTTGTAAAACTTTACGGTATCTTACGTAGTTTTGTCCGTGAGGAAAGCTGTGGGGAAACTTGTATTTACGAGTTTCGGGGCTAAAGAAACAAAGAAAGTCGCTAGCACTTTTTGAAGCAGTAGTTAGGCCAAAATTAGCATGTCGGTCGACGCAAATCAAGTTAAAAGCCGTCCTATCCCCACCAGGGTGCTTACCCTGAAGGACTGGTCCCAGCTACCAGACTGTTACAGTCAAACACCCGGGGGTACCCTGTTCTCCACCACGCCTGGAGGTAAGAAAAACTGCACTGTGTTGTGTTTTTGTGTTCTCAATTTATGTTTTCAGAACTCAACAGGAAAGAAAAGGGGGGAAAACCCTCGAAAAGTTCGACTTTTGCTGGAAACTAATGATTTGTGCCTACGTCCAAACAATCACGCGTCATCTCTCGCGATAGGCTGCACGCGACAACATAAAAAGTGTCTGATGTAATATTGGTTTCCCCTAACGTCAATAAAAACAGCCCTCGCACTTGCTCGAGACCAAAAAGCGGGCAAAGATGGGCCCCTGCCTCGTTTGTAGATTGAGAGTATGCTCACAGCAGGCCACAGCCCCGTATGTTCACGAGTGTGCTTTACCTGCATCGAGTTGGTTAATACTCTAACGTCGGTGTTTTGTTTCTTCTTAAATTGTTTTTTTTTTTCTTTTCTTTTTTTATACATGTATAACTACATACATATTGTTTGAGTTCTGCAGTTAAACTTGTATCGGTAAGGCTTGTAACAACACTGCCCCCTGTGACAAACACGGTGGTCTGATCGGTGACTTGTTGCAGCGTCAAACTTACTGATTGTTGTCTCAAACACAACACGCCCAGTCTTAACTCGTGACTTTTAGGGTGTATGTGTCTGGCTGACAGAAATACAGAGTGATTGGCCTTCGCAGTGGTGGAGGAGCGGGAGGCCGTCCTATCCCTGCTTCTCTCTGTTCTGCATTTGAGGAACAGTAGAGAACATTCTGTACATTTTGAAGGGGGAGGGGGTGAAATGTGTAATGCATGGGGGAATGTAAACATTTCAAGAAAAAGGCCTAAAAATGGATGCCAAAGGACATATGATAGGATGTCGCTACTGAGTTTTGACTTGAGTTACACTTTGTATAGTGACACATTAAATTTTACACACCCTATCAAGTCGAAGCTTGTGTTGCTGACCCCCTTTTTCATATGTAGCTGCATGGCACAGTCGCTGCTTTGACTATAGGTTGCATTCCAGCCCCCTTTCCCTGCCCCATTTCCCTCTGCTTTGCTTCCCTTTGTCTAGGATGAATTGCCCGTAACTGTTTTTCAATGCGTTTTTCCTTGTAGATGGTACAAACTCCATTTTTAAAGAAAAATAAGTACTTTTAGGTTCATTCATATGCATTTAATGACTGCTGTGTATGTAACAGCTTTCTGCTGAATCAAAATAGGAAACATGTGGATCTGAAAGCATCTTGCTTCAAAGTGAGAATGTTTTGTGGTTGGATTTCTTGGAATTCCTAGAATTACTGTGACGACTCTAAACATTGTGTGCACACAACCCTTTCCCCACTTAAATCTCCTCCAGTACAGAATAATATTGTCCAATTCTCCAGATGTGCACCTTGGATCACTGCAAAGGGGTTTGAGTAATAACTAGGCTGCAGTTTGAGCTTGCAGAAGTCCAGCCTTTGTTCTGTTGTTTGACTCTTTGTTTTGATTTTAACCCCCACCCCCTCCTAAAACAAAATAGGCACCCGCATCATCTATGACAGAAAGTTCCTCTTGGATTGTCGAAACTCTCCTCTTGCTCGGACCCCCCCATGCTGTCTTCCCCAAATCCCAGGGGTAACTGTACCAGCCACACACTCCACGGGGAAGTTGCAGGATCTCAAAGAGGAGGAAGAAGAGGAAGAGAAAGACATTGCAGGTAAATGTCTTGTACATATAAGATTCATTTGTGTCAACACAACTTGTAATGTAGAATTTTACTTGATACATATTGAGTCTCCTGAAAGTTCAGAATCCTTATTGTTCCCTTTATTTGTGAGAGTGATGTCAGCCAACACAATTTTATCAATCTGAACACTCGGGATAAATACTGGGAGGAAAAAAAAAGCTTTGCATGTGACTGAGGTGCGCAAAACAAATAGTTCAATAATTTGTTTTGCAATGTGCAGCTGTTGGGTTAGGGTGGTGGTGGTGGTGGTGGGGATGCCAACACTGATAAAAGGGATTAATAAGCTTCAAGGCATATGAGCCCATGAAATGGAACGGACAGTATGGAACCTGTTCTTAACTAAAA